CTATAGACCGATATCTATTTTATCGTCCTTTCCCAAAATATTAGAAAAATTAATGTATAATAGGCTAATGCCTTTTTTTAATTCAAAATAATATATTAACAGAGGCCCAAAATGGTTTCAGAAAGAATAAATCAACTGACACAGCAAGTCAGTCTTTTATTGAAAGTACACAGGAGGCCGTAGATAATGGCCTATATGCCACAGGATTATTTTTTCATTTATCAAAGGCATATGACGTAACAGACCATGATGTACTTTTAGAGAAACTAGACTCATTATGGCATGAGAGGCGTGCCAAATATGTGGTCCAGGTCTTACCTGTCAAACAGAATCCAATATGTAGAAATAAAAAACACTGACGGCAGTGTCAAAACCAGTTATAATTCATCATGTAGGAAAGTGAAGTATGGTGTACCACAGGGATCAGTGATGGGGCCACTTTTATTTTTACTATACATTAATGATCTTACAGAAAATATTCAAGGAGCAAAGCTGGTTTTATATGCAGACGATACCAATTTGTTAATTACTGGAAAAGATGAACTTGACCTTCAATATAAAATAATGAAGGTTATGAAAGAATTAGAAATATAGTTTCAAAAAAATAACCTTATAATAAATATTAAAAAAAACATCTGCAATGTCATTTCATTCAAAACAGTGGAGGGATCCGTTAAGACCACAAATACCTTTTAACAATACAGAAATAGTATATCAGTCAGAACTGAGATATCTCGGAATTCACATGACAGAAACCCAAAAAATGGTACGCTCATGCTCAATTTCTAAAAGCAAAGATATGCAAAGTAATTTATATGATGAAAATATTAAAAGAAATAATGAGTCCATATATGATAAAAATTATTTATTTTTTGAATTTTGAGTCATGTATGAGAAATGGTATCTTATTGTGGGGTGGGGATGGGGAAAGTAAAAGCATTTTTAAATTGCAAAAGCGGGTTCTTCGACTGATTAGTGGTACTAGTAGTTGCACATCATGCTGACAAATTTTTAAAGATTACAATGTTTCAACATTGCCTTCTCTGTATATATTGGAGGTGACATGCTCTATCAAAAAATACAAGGCTTTTATGGCAATAAATTCAGACATTCATAATTGTAACACACGAAGAAAATTAAATTTTTATGTACAGCACTGTAATATAGCTCTTTTTAAGAGGAGTGCAATAAATATGGGAATTAGTTTGTATAATAAGGTCCATGATCTAATAAAAAAAAAAGGGAAAATTTTAACTCATTTAAAGTGGAATTAAAATCTTTTTTGCTGAAACATTCCTTTTATTCTGTAGATGAATTTATGTCTTTTGATTTTTCATGTGTGTAACTGTAATATATAGCTGCTTAATTTGTTGTATTTGTGTAAAGACAATGAAATTAATGGTAACTAGATCTAGATAATATTATTCAGATGACTAAACCCCTATATTAGGGTGGTACAGTGTATACTGTAAAGATATGCACGAGAATTAGAACAAACTGACAATTTCCTTATCCAAATGGTTGTAATACCTGTATGTATGGATTGTTCAATGATAATAAAAAAAATGATAATCTTAAGAAGTGTTAAGTTCACAATGCAGGGACCTTCCTAAGAAACCTAGGGTCCCTGTGGAAGTACAGACAATACATATCTGCTCTTTATGGAACCTAAGCACTCATTACTGTGTTCACACACGCCCATCATGACTTTGCATCCTGACACAAACAAACCCAGTCCAAAACCTCATAACTGTATCTTTAACAAAATCCATCTTCAAAATTGTCTCCCAAGTGGCATCATTCTTTCAGGTCTTCTGTCAAAATCTTTGTACACATTTCTCTGTGCGCTACATGACCTACCCATATCACTCTCTTTGAACTGATCCCTCTCCCACATAATAATGCATTTTGTTATATGAAGAACGAAGTAAACTCCCCAGATTGATTATAAGAACAAACACAAGCTTGGCATAAAAAGTTTAGTTTCTTAAGATATGAGAATTCACTCATTACAATACAATTCTTGTCTGTGCACACAAGCACAAAACACTCACCATCCTTTCTGTCACAGCAGGAAATGTTTCTTCGCGCCTCTGTAGCAGAATTCTCGGCATTGCTGTTGCAAGAGAAAGCAGATTCTTTCATAACCTTGAAACTTTATTTTATCACACATGATGATTTGTGGGTGACAAATGAATTGATTTACAAGAATCCTAGTGATATAGTACAATATTTCTAATAAGTGTACCAGTGCCTAGCTCTGAATATTTGTCGGAGTCTGCAAGGAAACATACTAATTTTTGTGAACAAACACACATTGACGTGCCGGCAGAGATTATGAACATTATGAAGCTGAGTGTCTTATTACACGTTGTGTAGTCTAGATTGTTGCTCAGTTTCGATGGCAGCTAGTTCACCACGTTTGAGTGAACCTCTTGCTTCCCAAATGTCGGTAGCAGACTACCAGACTGCACGGAGTTACATCCTAGAAACACCAAACCTACTCCACAGATTCACATCGCGGTGCCGCTGAATACTATTCACTATGCATTTGTATACCCTCCAACATTAATCAGTTCACCATAGACCATCAGCTCTCACGACTTACTTTACAAGTCGGAACGGTATGTGTAACGCGTGAGAAAAGGTGTAAAAATATGCATTCTAATAGAAACATGACCCTCAGAAAGGGAGCTGAGAAGTTTAGAAGAATCCCAAGCAGAACTTGCAACAGCGGAATATCACGAACCCCAGCGGCGTTCTCTTCCAGAAACTTGACAAAATATGAGTCAATTGAAATTATTTCGAATGATAATAATGATTCCGTAACAAATATCAGAACTTAAACAACTCGCACGTATGGGCGATTCTCGGTGCTTGTAGTTCTGATGGTCGGGCCCACAGGATCGCAGGATAGAGCGCTGAACAGGCTGGTGTACACGTAGTACTAATTCTGCACAGCAGATGGATCTGCCAACAAGAATTACATGTGGTCTGTCGCCATGGTCGCCATGTCGCCATCGTTGTCAATCACACAAATTTGAGATTCCAGAAACACGTTTTTAACTTTAATATTGAGTGCTATGGTTTTACCGCATGATCTTTTAAAAGTAATGTCAACAGTAGCAACAACGGTCTCTGAGAAGATCTCCTTACACTTTCTTTCCTTAAAATGTTTCAGTATGGGCCTATATATTGCGATGGGAGAGAACTTCGAATTTATACTGAGGCCTAAAAACGCTACTGAGGGAGCCGGAGTAACGCAGTCGATTTAGCGACACAGGCAACTTCACTCACTTTTTTTTTTACAAAGATCACTCTTCTGGGATTCACATAGTCACATTTTTATTCTAACCCTGAAGATGGGGACACAACTTTCCTCTGAAACGTTAATGGAGGCATCAGGTTCCTCCATGCACACATCTAACAGACTACATGGCTAACATCTCATGTTCTGCCTTGAAGAAGTAAACCCAAAAGATTTTCGAATACCTCTGAGAAGCCCCACTCTTCTACAAGGGAGATGGAAGCTTGGAGAGTCCTCCGAAACGTCGGTATTTCTAAACTATGAGAGGTCACAATTACTCTTCTGTCCTGAAAACGTTTGCAAGATGTTCCCCAGAAACGCTGACACCTATGTACCAAACAGCACGGCCTCACAATCCTAGAAGACGGCAGTCTTAAGCTTGTATCACATTATCGCTCAAGCCACGCTCACCCTCTCGGGACACTCACTCTCATGTCACGCTCCAAGGTAGTCACACCACGACGCTCAGGAGTTTAGATGGAAGTGACCGAAATTAATTTTTCTGACGAAGAACTTCTATTGATTGCGGTATTGTTAGATGATGATGAAGCGAAACCTACAGGAAGAAGAAAATGGGTGCACCCTTCTTTGCTTTGTAGAGCAACGGAGGGGGAGTTTCACACACTATTTCCACAGTTACTGGATGATGAAACTAAATTCTTTCAGTACTTCAGGATGTCCAGGGAACAGTTCGAAATACTGCTTTCGAAAATTGGGAGTGACTTGAAGAAACAGAACACCACATTTCGCGCAGCTATTTCACCAAGAGAGAAATTAGCAGTTTGTTTAAGGTAAGGAAAAATAATAGTTTCTTCTTTTTAAAATGTGTTTAATAATAAAAATGAAACATTTACAATATCTACGCACTGGAAGAGTTCATAGCATTTTATTCAATATGATTCTGGAGAGAAATTAGAAAAAAAATTAGAGCAAGCAGAATTGGAGTCAGTAGAGGATGCCGGAGAAATGGGTGATGGTGGTTGGGAGCTCTGCGACATTTTCGGATTTCCGACATATGTGAATTCTGAACCAGCTGATGGACCTCCTAAGTTGGTGCTATGAAAATGACTTTGAGGGGAAGGAGGATGGGGCATTAAATATTTGGCTTCCATCTGAGATACGAGGTTGTAAATTTGATTCCTTATTAGGTGTTGGTCGACAGGAGAAAAAGTTTTAACCGTTTTGACCATAGATTCAAAAAACAGTTCCAAGGAGTCCTTTTCTTTATCTTTATCTGTAGTTTGCTGTCTGTTTTCGAGTAAATATTTCATCACAGTAGCAGATGCTGTTTCCTGAGGTCTGCTTGAACGGTTGCATTTCTTTTTAGGTGTGGAAATCGAAACCGACTTGGACAGTTCACGTTTTCTGTGGGAATCTGGAGGTGGAGATATCTGTTCCACTGATACTTCATATTCTGTATCATCTTGTTCATTTTCTTCGAGTTCATCCCCTCCTTTTTGCTCTTCTATGTCCAATGATGAAATTCTTTCTTTGTCTCTCATGTATGAAATCAAAAAAGACATGCTATCCTCAAATTTCCATTTACGAATATTAGCAGCTGCTTGGCCACTTACGGTGTTGTATTTCTGAACAACTTTTCGGTGTTGACTTCTTAAACTCATCCACCTGTGCTTACATTCTCCGCCTGTGAAAGGGAAGATAATTACAAAAGTGACATACGAGTATATAACCAAAAGTTAGACACAAAACACACTCACCCATACACACGTGTGAGCGCCAACTAACTGGCAGTTGACCAAAATGGTCCTTGACACATCGTAAACGTTGCTTTTTATATTGTTAAAATATTAAATATAGGCTTATTTATAAACTAAAAACAATTAATTGTAAAGTAGTTGTTGAATTTATAATTAATTTTTAAATTATAAGAATAAATACGAATATAATATTAAATTTTACCAAATTTATGAATATAATAAATTTATAATATTGATTATCAGTACCTATATAATTTGTGAAGTTATAAATATAAAAATATTAATTCTCTAATATTTATATTTCAATAACTAAATAATATTAATGTATTAAAATATTGTCCTGTAATGTAAATAAATATAAAATATATATATTCTACAATGGGCTGTTGTTTTGTTCACAGGTTCCTAGCCACTGGGGACTCATTTCGAACCATAGCATTCAGTTTTCGACTAGGGTATTGTATGGTTCAGAATGCAGTTCATGGAGTTTGCAAAGCTATTGTAAAAAATATGTTGCAGGAAGTAATGCCTACTCCAACAAAAAATGAGTGGGAGAGAATTGCAAGAGAATTTTGGGATCAGTGGCAGTTTCCCAATTGTTTAGGATCTTTGGATGGAAAACATGTTGTGATAGAGGCTCCTCAAAATTCTGGTTCCCTCTACTTCAATTACAAGAAAACATTTTCAATAGTTTTATTGGCACTTGTTGATGCTAATTACAAATTTATAGCAGTAGACATTGGGTCTTATGGACGGAGTAGTGATGGTGGAATATTTTCCACTTCAAAGCTTGGAAGGCGTTTAGAAATGGGAACTCTAGACATTCCAGAAGATGCACTGCTGCCGGGAACACAACAACTGGCTCCATACGTAATTGTTGGTGATCCGGCCTTTCCATTAAAAAAATACTTGATGAGGCCCTTCCCTGGTCTACAAGTCGAAAACCGTATCGAGAGACGCATTTTCAACTACAGGTTGTCTCGCACCCGTAGGGTTGTTGAAAATGCCTTTGGAATTCTGACACAAAAGTTTAGAATTTACAACAGAAGACTGAAATTAGCGCCTAAATATGCTGAAAAGGTGGTTTTAGCCACGTGCATTTTGCACAATTTCATTCGCGCAGGAACGGCTGCAACGCCTTTGAATGATGATCAGATAATGGCAGGTAATTTGACGGACTTATCGAGACAAGGTGGAAATTGTTCAACAGTAGCTTTTGAAATAAGAGAGATATTCACAAGATTCTTTAATTCAGAACAAGGTTTCGTCCCTTGGCAACACAATATGATTTAAACAAGTGTATTTCTAACTGTATTTGTTTGATGCTAATAAAGTGATTATTGAAAGTTACCAGATTTTTTTAACGCTGTTCCGATCTCTTCCCATACTTTCTTCTTATGTACATTATCACTGTACAATCTGTGTGTTAAATCGTAAAGCTCAGGCTTGGCACGAACAAGTTCAATCAATTCTTCCTCCATGCTTTGACTGGTGAAATGAAAGAAAAATGAGAAGCAGAACCTTTGAGCTTGGGACTCGCGCGCAGTCTTGGTCACACTAGACGCTCAGCTCGCGATACACTCAGAGTCATGATGATTAAATATTCTCGGCGATGATTGCGGCGCTCACTGTGAGTGCGAGTGAGCGTGGCGTGCACCCCAGTATGATCAATCCTATAACATTTACATTGTTTGGATTTTAACCGTTGCGTGAGCGGAGCGTGAGCATCCCTATAATGTGATACAACCTTTATGGCTCCCACACACAAACGCGATACTCAACTCAGTACGGTACGGGACGATATCTAATTACATTGCGGTAAATGGAGGTCCGCACACTGACGCGGGACTCCGGGGAACGCGATATTATCGCAGTCGGTATATCGGTCTACCGAGCGCACTCGGTAGACTGTTTGAGAGGAAAACTGTGCAAAGAAGGATTGACTGTTTTTCTATGTGGTTTTATGTCAGATGAAATGGAGAAAACCTTAGTGATTGGTAAGGCAGCAAAGCCACGATGCTTCCGAAACATGGACATACAGAAACTTCTCGTTGAGTGGAGAGCCAACAAAAAGGCATGGATGATGTCACAGATCATGGAGGAATGAAAATGCAAAACCGGCATGTTTTGTTGTTCTTGGATAACGAAACATGCCACCCCCATATCGAACTTTCCAACGTGTGACTTGCTTTGTTCCCTCCAAACACCACTATAGTGTTTCCCAACCAATGGATCAGGGCATCATTGAGAATGTTAAGGTCCACTATCGTAAATTATTAATTCAATCACAAAGTTAATAGAAAGTCCGTCGAGTGTAACAATTTGTAGGTCACTTCTTTATCACTTCTGCCTTACATGTTTCGGTTTAACACAACCATCATCAGAGGCACTTACTACAATTATGAAAACACTGTCGTTGTTTATGATGTTCACAGTTATGTTTGTTGTGTGGACGCTGCTACAATATGTTGACGTGTAAAAGCACAACACTTGCTAGGATAGTTGAGTACACTATCAATTCTCACTTTCCATCTGAAACTGTTTTTAAGTTAAAACGCTAATGTTAAAATATTTAAAACATTTGATGTAAAATGCTAAGCTCCTCCTTGTTAATTCATCCCGACGATGGGAACTTTGTGATTGATAGTGTAACGGACCAAAAATGAAACAATTCAAAATATTAATCCAATCTTTGCTCGTCAATATATTCTACATCATCCGCGTCTCAACTTGCAAGAACTGTCTCAGTTCTAGATGCGGTTATTTGGATAAGTCAAGCAGTAAAGAAGTTCTTACCAGAAACTGTGACAAAGTGTTTCGAAAAAGCTGGATTTTCTATGGTAGAAGTTACTCCTAGTGTAGAAAATGAGAATGACCAGAAGGACTTACAACGCTGCATGAATGAAGCTGCTTTCAGTAACTGCAATGCTGAGGACTACATCAACATAGACAAAGATGTGCAAACAGAACCAGACACAATGGATATCGACGTATTAGTTGAGAATTTTAGAGAAAATTGAAAAGGAAGAGAGGAGGAGAAGATGAAGAAGAGGAAAATGACATTGTGATAGAAGAAGAAAAGTGGAGAGTGAAGACTTATCAGGATGCTGCCAACAGTTTAAAGGTACTGCAGGAGTTTGCCGTGCAACGGAATGATTCAGACATGCTTACTCTAATTTCTCAAGCTAAAGTGTTTGTGGAAAGTCAGGCAGCCAAGAGAGTAAACTGCATGCAAAATTCTGCCAGAGTTCTGGTAAAATTATAAAAAGTGAGTACTGCACTGTTCAGTTCACTGTTTCCTGTTCAATGATTATAGTGTGAATAAATTAATGAGCATGTTGTTTTGTTTTGTCTCAAATACATTTATGTCCTGGTTTAGCTATTATAGTATAGTTTGATTAAACGGAAACCTGGCTTCAGCGGAAATTTTTTCTGGTCCCTTGAGATTCCGTTTAAGACAGGTTTTACTGTAATTTGAAAGGAATTTCTGCTTGATTAATTTGGATGAGTAATTTACAAGGAGCAATTGATTGGATTTTACATCGGGTGGACTACGCGAAATTCTATTAGGCAGTTCCACATACCTGATGTAATAATGTGATATACTTTTTCTGTAATAGGCCTATATGACACGTACTGTAGGTAAACGTGGGCCAAGTTACTGACCACACATCGGTCCGGGAGAAAGTGGAAATAGCCATTTGAAATTTCCTCCTATCCAATCTTTCCTCCCCTCACACTTCTACAGAGCAGAAATAGTTGCTTGGAAAAATCAGAAGTTGAGGGTTTTCTTTGTGCCACTGTCAAATTGCAGTGACAACAACTATATGACGGTTTTGGGCATGGGTTGGGAGGTAGCAAAGCCCACAACTGGCTCTTCTCATATAGCCTTGGGGCAGAATGCACGGAAACACCTGTTCTTGCAGTTACTCTACAGTTGGGTGACATCACTGTCGGCTCGAACCACACAGAAAGCACCTTTCAGAGTTGGATTTCCAGTATACATGCGTGACTGTTGCTATGGTGAAGTGGTGTTTACTGTGCTGTAACCTAGTGATGGCCATTTCTCTGGCTCCGCTATTTTGTCTTTCAGGCGTCATGTCACAATAATGCATTTCTCTTCTCTACATTAGCACTATATTAATAACAAATAACATAACACATTACACCCTGTTGCTGAAGGACAAGTGTATGCTCCAAAAGGTCATTCCATGTGAAGTCATCCAGATAGGTCACTCGACCATTAAAAAATACATATTTTGTACTCACACTTCAAAAATATTCTGAAAATTGTAATCCGCTCGGCTCTTCCGGTACAGCAAGTTTTCGTTTTCATCATCATCATCATCAGTAATCTGTCAAGACGACAGGTCCACAGTCTCTTCCAAAACAATTCGTCCACTTGATGCAATCTAGAGCTTTCTCCTTCAAATGACAGTATCCCCTTCTGTCCCCAAGGTCATCCAGCATCTTCTTACGTCTTCTTGTCACTTCTATCTGCCCATCTATCTTTCNATAACTTCTTTTAGAAGGCAGTTTCTGCGTAAAACATGACCAATCCAATTAGCCTTCCGTTTTCTTATTTCGTGTAGGATATTCCTCTGCTCACTGACTCTAATTAACACTTCTTCATTTCTCACATAATCGGTCCAAATGATCTTCTCCATCCTTCTCCAACACAACATTTCGAAACTTTCCAGATGTTTCTGATCTACTGCCCTAAGTGTCCATGTTTCAGCCCCATACAGAGCTATGCTCCAAATGTAACATTTCACTAGTTTCTTCCTAAAATTTATGTCCAATTTGCTGGTAAAAAGATTCTTCTTCTTCTTGCTAAATGCAGCTTTTGCCATGGCAATCCTGGATTTAATTTCACTAGTACACTTTCCATAATCTGTTACCAAGCTACCCAAATATTTAAAACATTTTACATTCTCCAGTTGTTTTTGGTCTATCTTTATTGTGACTGGGGTTGATTGCCTAGAAATTTTCATTACTTTTGTTTTTTCCACATTCATTTCCATGCCATAGCACCTTCCAATTTCAATTAGTCTATCAATCAATTTTATAATGCAAAAAAAAAAATGCACAACACAACACTGCACTTCAGTAATATACACTGGGGCACAGTCATCATTTTGGCTACTGAAATCAGCCTCTTAACGTAAGCAAGCAGATCTGCTACTTAGTCTGTCATGACGCTGGACTATGCTGGTACCTAGTGATGCACACAGAAAACCTATTATGTACATCCATTATAGGTGTTTTACTTTAATTTGTGACCTGCTTGCCGACTCTCACTCATACACGTATTTCATGAACCACAGACATACTATTCTGCCCATAAAGTATCCAACCTTGCGGCGGGAAAACAAAGTTCTGTATCTGGGTAGCTACAATACCTAATCCCCTTCAAAGTAGGCTCCTTGTAACTCCACACACTTAGCCCAGTGGTCCTTCCATCACTGGAAGCAATTCTGGAAGGCTTCTTTTGGAATGGCGTGCAGCTGCGCCATTGCGTTCTGCATGATGTACTTGCAGCTATCAAAACAGGAGCCTTTCAGCAGTGTCTTCAATCTCGGGAACAGCCAGAAATCACAAGGAGCCTTGTCAGGAGAGTAGAGAGCCTGGCAAACCTGCAGAATGCTGTGATGACCAGGAAACCCTGGATCAGGTGTGATGAATGAGCTGGGGCGATGTCATGATGCAGCTACCAGTTGTGTGCGTCACACAGCTCCGGTCTCTTGCGCCAAACGGCATCATGAAAAAGGCGGAGGACATCTTGGTAGTAATCCTTATTGACAGTTTGGCCTAGTGGTGCCTACTCATGATGCACAAAAGCCCCGTAATTGAAAAAAAAACAGTCAGTATCACCTTCACCTTGCTCTGAACCTGTCGTGCTGTTTTGGGCCTTGGGGATGTTGGATGCTTCCATTGTGATGCCTGGACCTTGGTTTCTGGGTCATATCCATACACCCTTGACGCATCACCAGTGATCACAGTCTTGAGGAACTCAGGATCCCTGTTGGTGCACTCCACCATGTCTGGCGTGACCTCAAGGTGCAGTTGTTGCTGCTCCGGTAAAAGTAGCTTGGGCACAAATTTGGCCGCCACTCTTCGCATGCTCAAATCCTCAGTTAAAATTGTGTTTGTGGAACCTCGGCTGATCCAAGCCTCATCAAACAACGGTCCTCCATGATCAGCGTCCACACTTGTTCAGTGACATCAGCATTTTGGCTCGTTGACGGTCTCCCAGAATGCTGGTCACTGTCCGCCGACATAGGCCATTTTTAAAGCGGTTGAATCACTCTTTAATTTGAGTGAACCCCATTGCATCATCCCCGAAAGTC